TAATAATACACAGGTAAGACGATCGAGAGTCCGCACCAATTTCACCTGCCTTCTAGCCACTCTCGAGTGCTCATTTATCCAAGTGTAGATAAAGTTTTGCTTTATAGCTCTTCAGGCACAGCGAATCAGAGTGGGTACAGTTTTCAGTTTAGCTAAGTTTCAGTTCCAAGAAGCCAGCTCGTTGTCATATGCATGTGTTTTTTTTTTTTACCATCTTAACTGAACGGACTGCTGTCCTTTATTATTGAAAATTTAATTGTTACTTTAGTGTTGCGTATCTGAGCTGAGGATTTTAAAATTAGATCTAATGTTTAGTTCTCTTTGTCAGAAAGGTTAATTTACTCATTTTCAATATAAATAGATAAATAAGGGGATCGCTCGCTCTTGATTTGGTATATCAATTTAATAATTTTCAGCACTGACATTAAAGACTGTCATATTCTTTGTAGCTGATGTTTTTTTGAAAAGGCTGTGTCTGCCTATGCCTTCCCTATCGATTGACTGCAGATCATTATTGCAACTTATAAATTGCAACGCTAATAAAAATTCAGAGATTTCACCTCATCCAACTATTGTCAATGATATCCCCTTGTATTCCCATGACTTTTATAGATAACTTTATGAAATTGTCTTTTTTTAAAATTTATTTATTATTCAAACCTAGGTGTGCATTTTTTGGATGCTCTCTTTACTGGGACCAGCTTTGAAGCTTTGGCTAGACAAGAAAATATATACAGTGGAAAGGTTAATAAAGACTAGCCTCCCCGCAGACGTCCTTTGGGGTTCGTTTGTCAGGCTAAATAAAGACACGTTATGATGTCTATATTATCTGGGTGTCCGTATTATCCGGGTGTCCATATTAAGTTAGCTCTCTGGAAAAAAGTCACAGACACGTGATTTATTTGATATGTAGCATAAAGGAACAAGGAGGAAGAAGGGTAGGAACGATGACTGTAGTAAAAAGCCAAGGACGTGAAACTTGTTGAGTAGGAGGCAGAAAATTTATGAAAGGACTACAAACAGGGGAAGAAAGAAAGATGTATCAAAATCAAATGTGTCATGCTATTTGGCTGCAGATGTTTTGGTAATAAAATCTTATTAATCCTTGAACTTGGTACAATGTCTACAGTTGGCACATCATTGTGACAAGAAAAATAGAAAGTGCCTGGGTAACCAGTGTCTGAAAAGCTGGATTAAGAATATATAGGAATTTCTGACTTGAAACACAGAAAAGTGGTTGCTGTCCACATTAACTACTGTGCTAACTACTGTGCGTACTAAGCCGGTTAATTTTAAAGAAAAAATGTATGCTTTTCCTCAGGACAAACAAAACTGCCTGTTATATGTCGGTGTCCAATTAAGTGGGTGTCTGTAGATCATAGAGTACTGGGTTATCACTGCATTAATAAATTATTAGTTGCAACTAACTTTATGTATTGAAAAACTAAATGGTTCAATACATCACTAGGTTGCACGATTCTGCTGAAACCACAGTGTGCCATAAATTCACTGCCTCTAGGAAGAAGTGTTACACAGTGGAAATTATGTTCATCATGGAGGCCCATCCTTGATTGTGCTCTGTGGGTTTTTCTTGCTGGTTTTTTCCATAGTAAAATATTATTAGAAACTAGCATTTTTAAGAGTTAAAACCCCTAAGAGGGCCTGGGAAGCAGTTTTTAACGTGCGCGGACCGGTGACCACCTACATTGAGGTGGTGGGGGGGGGGGGGGGGGG